TACTGAAAAACCAAAATCATTCGAATCATTTCCCATAATATTAAAAAAAAATTTAAATGTTTGTTTTTTCAACAACTTGTACTGATCTAATGCACAGTCCTATAATCTTAATTTAAACAGAAAATCCTTTCAGACCCTGTTCGTAAAAGAGACTTTAAAATGCTACATAAATATTAAACAAGACATATTTTATAATGTTTATAGTGTCGGAGAGTTAAAACCTCAAAACTTGTTTTGATTGTTTCCATCAAACGATCTGTATTCCTGATCACCTTGGATTTTAAAAAGGACCTAATTAAGTTTCTTGTGTGTTCTCTCAATTGCTTTCATGTCCTGGGTGCAAAATTCTTCAAACTGAAATCCAAGACACATAAATATAATATGTCTAATATATATATATATATAATAAATATAAATATTCTCTTGTCTCCACTGTTTGTAAAGCTGAAGCTGCATGCATGTGGGATCAAATCATTATGATCAGTCACAGGAAAGGTGTAGTTTTCTTTCTTTTTTTTCTTTTTTTTTAAGATGGCTTTAAATAAACACTGAGGACAGACCCAAACTGCTCGGAGGTCTTTTAGCTGATTGTAGCTAAACCTGAGCAGCTGCTAAATTTTAAATAGCTAAATAATTTCAGGTTTTAAGGCAGAGCTCTGTTGTCCACAGCAAAATATTCTAAATTTGAGTTATAATACGTTCGTACTCAAAGAGTTAGTCACATGCAACAAATGCAGTTCAATTCCTCTATAAACACTTTATAAATCATAAATAATTGTTTATTATGCATTAATTAAGGGTGACAAAGACAATACTGATCAGTTTCTTGCCAAATCGTGAGCCAAATCCACCACCTATATATTTCATCTAGAGTTGTTTATATTAAACATTTCAGACTAAGTTACGACCTTGTAGGCACAATAAGCATTTGTAAACCTAATTTTTTTAGGATATACTATTGTAGATACTTAAAATGCAGTGATAAAGTACAACATTATACGCTATCGCAATAGGTTTACAGATGCTTATTGTGCTTACAAGGTAGTAACTTAGTCTAAAATGTTTAATATAACAACTCTAAATTAAATATTTAGGTGAACAGATCTGGCTCACTATTTGGCAAGAAACTGATCAGTTTTGTCTCTGTCATCCTTAAATAATGCATAATAAGCAGTTATTAATGATTTATAAAGTGTTTATAGAGGAATTAATAATTTATCTATAAACTATTAGCCTTCTTTAAGGGGGGCCTTATTGTAAAGTGTTACCGATCTTATCTTTTTGTTTGTTTGTTTGTTTGTTTGTTTTCAGTGTTTTGAATTAACATTAAAGTTTTTGAGATTCTTGTCCGGTCTGATCGTCTCTTTGACCTGGTAGTTTTTTGTGTAATCTTTCATAAACAAACAGCATCGTTTTGGTGTGGATTAACGCAAAACATTTAAAAGTATTGTCTGCATATAAAAGTACAATCATCGCCAGACTAAATAAAGACAGCTCCTCTTTTCTTCTGGTTTCCCAAGGATGAAAACTGGTTCTCAGTCCCGACAGTCCAGCTCAGTACTTTTGCACCCTCTGCCCATCCCCCAACACTCATTGTTTTTATTAATGACCAAATGATTCCCGTATGAACTTGTGGGCTTCTTTCATGCATTGTCTATTAAAGACGTTCAAACCTTCTTGAAAGAATGAGTTCAAAGTGTAGCCTGCAAGTTTGGTTCTGGAGATTTTAAAGAAGTCCTGGACAGATTTTAAAGTTTTGTTGTCCAAACTTTTGTTGTCTAATTTAGCATAGAAGTGAAAAACATACTGTTTTCTAACCATTAGTAATGGTTTGTATGGACATAATAATGTGTTTTGGTGCATATTTCCCTTATCCTTAAAACATTAAGAGGGATTTTAAATATTTGTGATAAATATGTGATGGGTACACATTTTTGGAAGAGACTAAAATTAGCTATTTATTCCATCTGGTTCAAAAACAGCTCTTAATTTGCTTTAGAAATGCCATAAATTGGTGTTTTAAGGTTGTTATTCAAGTGTAAGAGGTTAATCCTTAGCAGAATATTTGGCTCATGATTTGTGTAATGGGGTGTGAGTAAAGGTTTTTTACCATGAGGTTTGGGGTAGGATCAGATTTGTGGGTCTTTGTGATTTGGACAGATTGGCACCCTGCAGTTAAGGATTAGAAGCTCCATATTGGCATAAACTTGACATACAACTAAACAGTAGAAGCTATACATAAGCTTCTTTACCTTCTTAAATTGAAATCATATATACTACAAATATGATCTATGAACTTTTCATTCAACCTTTATTTAGACAGGTTAATCCCATTGAGCCTCGGGGACTCATTTACAAGAGAGACCTGATTCTAACAAAGAATGATGACAACAGTGGACAACAAAGACGACAACAGACAATCATAAAGGATGCGTACAAATTGAGATTTTTTTTTTTTACGTGAAAATAAAATGGTATTTTAAAAAATGTAACAAAAAACAGCTAGATTATAAGGCGATGTGGAAAACTAAAAACAGAAACATGCCTTTTTCCCAGGAACTTAGATGTTTAAAGCCACTTAGAGAGGTCAAGGTCGAGAGCTTCAAATCTTTTTGTAAGATATTCCAGGAAACAGGAGCGGAGTAGGAGAAGGCCCTTTTGCCTAGTTCAGTCCGCACTGAGGGGACACTGCAGGTAATAATGTCCTGAAAGCGCACGCTGTAGCTGCACTCACGCAGTGACATGTAGGAGGAGATGTATGAAGGCAAAAGACCAAGAAGTGATTTACAGATGAAAATGTACCAGTGGGAAAGCCTGTGTGAAATTAATGATGTCCAGTTAACCAGTGAATACAGAGTACAGTGGTGGGTACGATAATCACAGCCAGTTATGAATCTTAGTGCACCATGATAGACAGCATCCAACATCTGCAGGGTTCTTGTAGGAGCGTTCATATAGATAATGTCACCGTAGTCAATGGAGGGAAGGAAAGTCGCAGTTACAAGGCATTTCCTAGCATTCAGAGTTAGACAGGATCTGAAAAAGAAACCCAGTTTAACTTTCAGTTTCTTTACCAAGTTTTCCACGTGGAGCTTAACAGAGAGATGCAAATCGACCAATATACCCAAATATTTGTAGGAATCGACAAACCCAATAGGGTCACCATTCGAGGATAAAATCAGAGGAAGAACTGCTGGGACCAACTTCCTGTTTGAAAACAGCATCCCTTTGGTTTTGTCGGCATTTAGGACAAGTTTAAGACTGAACAAATCTAATTGGACAATGTCGAACTCGGGATTGCAAAAACTGGAAAACATTAGCAACCGTTTTATTTCGACAAACAACTGTTTCATCAGCATAGAAATGTAAGAACACATCAGGGATGCTCTGACCTACATTACCTATGTAGATTGTAAAGAGAGTGGGTCCTAAGACTGAGCCTTGTGGTACACCATTGTTGATTGTTAAATAACTGGAGGAAGTACCATTATGTAGAACACATTGGAACTTAATGTTTGTAAAGAAAACCTGGACAAAACTGTCAGAGCTGTAGAACAATGTTAAATTGTGGATCTGTCATCCTTTTATTTATTACAGTTTCTAAGTTAACTGAAAAATATTATAGATTATGTTTATGCTATGCCTTACAGTTTGGTTATTAAAATGTACTTGGAGGTTTTAAATGGTGCCAAATACACACTAAACAGTAGAAACGAAGGAAGGACAAGTCGGTTGTGGACAAAATGATTCAGCAGTTGCAACGGCAACAACTGGGCCTCGTACTTAAGTACTGGGATTATCCTCAGGAATCAGAGTAAGCCTCTAAAAGTCTCCCAGCCCTTTAGCACCGCACATACACCCCCAGTTCCCTCATTGGTCTCTTGTTTCCAGTTAACCCCACACAAGTGACCGTTTGCGCCGACAATGGCACTGTTGGTGGTAACGTGATAAAACTCTGTTTCTGCATTAACCTGACAGACAGGTCAACCGCTTCATCTGGGTCTTAAAACAAAGTATTTTTCAGCTGCTCTAGTAAAATGTGTATCTCTACAGTTTCCCTTCAGCTCTTATGAGATTTTGTTATTTTAATTTAGCTGTTTTATGAACAAGACACAAAGGGTGATGACAAAATTGTTTAATTTACAACGGTTGCTTTGCACAAAGAGCTTCAAGTCTGTCTGTGATTTGGTTGTTAAAGAAGTTTTAAACTTCTCCCAAACTTCTGAAACAAACAATGGAGCAAAGATTAATAAAAGCACGCACATACATGCACATAAGAAAAGGAGTCGGTCAAAAATGCTTGATCCATATCTGGTACAAACCCAGGTTTTTACTTTTTTACAGCTCAGCATTGACTTGACTGAAATCAAAAAACAAAACAAACAAAAAAAGACCCAAAAACTGGTGTTATGCTCAAGTAGTTAATTTTTTTATGTTAAAACCTAATAATAATGAAGGAGTGTATTTTTTTATATATACTTCTTGTCGAACCACCGAGCCACACATAAGTTTTAATAAGAACTAAACTTCGTCTTCAGCTGCCGGAGCTGGAATTTTTAATTATTATTTATCTTGTTTGGCTTATTAATGAGGGAAAATGCTTTTTTCCACCCCAAGAATTGCCATAATATAAATATTTTGTTGATAAAGTAAAAACTAAGTGTGGACAGCTTTTTTTTTGTTATTACTAAAGGCACTTGAAGAGTTAAAATACAAAAATTAAAAGCCATCTAATTTTTATATTTGTATTTCAGACTAATGTATAGCTGTAAGTTTGACTAGCTTATTGTGTGTGTGTGGGGGGGACTTATTTTAAAGTGCATGTATAAAGTGGTCATTTTTTCCCCTAGGGAACACTGAATGTCTTAAAGTTAATAGACCTTTCAAACGTTAAAGTGCATTTATCTGTCTAAAAATGTCTCAATAGATTTTAAACATATTTGGTGAGCATTTATTTGTGTAACTTCTGTGTTTTCATTGGCAGCGGACTCACCTGGTGCTTTCTGATGTCCTGGAGTCAACTCGAGACTGAACCATGGTCATTCTGCAGCAGGTACGTCCTGTCGAGTGGATACTACCTCTATTTTTTCTCCATTTCCTCCTCGTCTTTTGGGATTTTCTGAACTATATTCAGACTTATACTCAGTTCTTCCATCATTTTATCCATCGCACCATACGTTATATTCAACATTACACACGTGCAATGCAAAAGAATCGGCATCAGTTTAAAATAACTTCCTAGACTGGATAGAAAAATGTAATTTCTGGAAAATATTTGAGTCTTCCCAACCAGTTCACATGGATTTTACTGTAGTAGAGAAGGTATTTGGAATAACAATGTTGCTGATTCACACAAAACAATTATACATTTTAACATACTCAAGTTACAATCCAAACATATTGTTCTTTTTTATGTCTTTTATATGGAATCAAATAGTGAAAAAATTAAATCGGTCGAATCTTAGCGTTACATTCAAGACGCTATTCTCCTCTATCAAAAATACTTTTATAAGAATATTAATCTTACAATGGAAGTGTTTGATATTTAAGGTTTCTTGATTTTTTTTTTTAAATGTATCTGCAGTTTGTTAAATAATAATTTGGAAATGTGTTTTGGAATATTATGGATTTTATGTATTTGCTTTGGATATTTACTCCATATTAGTTTGTTGTGATTTGTTTTGAGGGAGTTGGTAACTAAAGGAAAGCAAAAGTTATCAGATGGGCAGAAAATGTTTAGTTAAATGTAGTGTTGCATGAAGAAGCCTGTTTACTGAAGATGAACGCATATTTGTTGTACATTTTGAACAGTGATACATTTTGTATTTGCTTTTTGACCTTTATGGTGGTGAACGATTTTTGAAGCTAGTCTTTCATTAAGTTTCTGTCGCCTCATCATATGAGCTGATTTGATCAGTTATTTCTTGGTTCTGTCTCGGTGTAACAGAAGTCGTCTCACTTGTGCAGACTCGCCTTTCAACGTTATATTTAGACGTTCTCATGGATTAAAGTTCTCCATCGTCGCAACAGATTTCCATAATTTTGAACGCGGTCAGGACGGATTTCCGTCGTCTATAAAAACGAGGAGGGGGAAAAAAGTTTTGTTTTTATTTATTTTTTTGGTTTTGTCAAAGCCATACAATCTAATGATGATACAGGAATTAAACTGATGCTGCCTTCAACCAATAAAGAGAAACCGAATCATAGTTTGACCCAGTCAAAGCAGAGCAGGGCGGGTCGTGCATTGTGGTTCACAGTGAGCAGCAGAGAGAAACTAAACCAAGGAGGACACCCCGCTACCCTAACAAAACCGCCCACCCCTTTCAGTCAGTTTCAGGTGTTTGTAGTTTATCATAAATATCTGCTAAATGAAATTATACATGTTGTTTTAACAAGATGTATCTGTTTGGATGATCTAAACTTGATTATATTTAGAACCATACTGAGAGGTAACTGTACTGTGATTAAAGTAATTTAGTAAATGATCAAATATAAAAAATAAATAGTATTATATCAAATTGGTTCTTCTCATCCTAAGCATTTCGTTGTACTGTTAACATTGTGTTAACATTGTGTTAACCTTGTGTTAACATTGTGTTAACCTTGTGTTAACGTTGTGTTAACCTTGTGTTAACATTGTGTTAACCTTGTGTTAATCTTGTGTTGACCTTGTGTTAACATTGTGTTAACCTTGTGTTAACCTTGTGTTGACCTTGTGTTGACCTTGTGTTAACCTTGTGTTAACCTTGTGTTGACCTTGTGTTGACCTTGTGTTAACCTTGTGTTATCATTGTGTTAACATTGTGTTAACATTGTGTTAACATTGTGTTAACATTGTGTTAATATTGTGTTAACATTGTGTTAACATTGTGTTGACATTGTGTTGACCTTGTGTTGACCTTGTGTTGACCTTGTGTTATCATTGTGTTATCATTGTGTTAACATTGTGTTAACCTTGTGTTAACATTGTGTTAACCTTGTGTTAACATTGTGTTAACCTTGTGTTAACATTGTGTTAATATTGTGTTAACATTGTGTTATCATTGTGTTAACATTGTGTTAATATTGTGTTAACCTTGTGTTAACCTTGTGTTAACATTGTGTTAACATTGTGTTAACCTTGTGTTAACATTGTGTTAACCTTGTGTTATCATTGTGTTAACCTTGTGTTATCATTGTGTTAACATTGTGTTAACATTGTGTTAACCTTGTGTTAACATTGTGTTGACCTTGTGTTGACCTTGTGTTAACCTTGTGTTGTCATTGTGTTAACATTGTGTTAACATTGTGTTAACATTGTGTTGACCTTGTGTTGACCTTGTGTTGACCTTGTGTTGACCTTGTGTTGACCTTGTGTTATCATTGTGTTAACATTGTGTTAACATTGTGTTAACATTGTGTTAACCTTGTGTTGACCTTGTGTTAACCTTGTGTTATCATTGTGTTAACATTGTGTTAACATTGTGTTAACATTGTGTTATCATT